CAATAGGAGTGAATGCTTTGTGAACTGAGTAAACTGTATACAGGTACTAGTATTCTTCAAGGATCTAAAACCAGGACTGCCTGACTGAGGACTCAGTGAAATAACTCCTTTCCTCAAGTACCTCCCCAGCCCCTGAGAACGAATTTGATTTTTCACAACATTTATGAACAGGAATCACAGCCAATTACCTCTTTTTGTTGAGGACATCTTTTTGAGAAAATAGGTACAATTGTGCTTTAGCTTTAGATGTGTTTTGGGGAAGGCTGTGATCAGTTAGTCTAATAGAAAACCTGTGAGTAATAACAGTAACTCTTGAAAAATATTGAGGTAAGACCAAAACACATATCACAGACTATGTACTGCCCACTGAGTTTGAAGACTTGAATACTTACATTCAGAAAAAGTACAGTCCAGCCAAGAGATTCTCCTCAGATTATGTTTCTGGACAAGTCATTATTTTTATAGCAGAATTAACTGTCTGCTGAAAAAATAAGTGGAAAGGCTCAGGCAAGTTAGATTAGAGAAGGTGGTGTTATTGTTAAAAGGAACTTCGTTAAAAAAATAATCACACAAGCATGCACATGAAAAGATACATTGGTTCTGACTTACTCACTGCCTAAATACCTTCTTTAGGGTCAAGTCAGGTTGATCAGATTGCTTTTGCCTTTGAAAGTCTGATTCATCCTACCAACTATGAAGGTTAATTTCCAGTTCTAATATGTAACAGAATGGGAGAGTAAGGAAGGACATGAAAAATGCCCCAGAAAATTCATTATGCTTTCTCATAGTTCAGAGCATTGATAGCCAAGGTAAGCAACATTAGGAAAGTGATATTTGTACTCTGGGATCTGGAAACAGAAAAAAAAGTACAAATAAGAACATACACTTAAGAGATCTCTTCGGTGTTTTCTTTTTACTTCTAAGAGTTTCTGAACTTTTTCATAGTGTCTTTTACAAAGTCAGTGCTGTGTTACTGTGTAGTATTAGTCCTAAGACTTTTACTGGGGAAATTTTTGTCTGTGTCAGGCTAATTGGATCTATACATATATTCAAGCCAAGAAAATGTAGCCCTGGGCACCATTCTAAGAGTTGATATTCTGAGCTACCTTCCAAATGCAGAAAGTAAAACATGGTCTGTACATCTGGAGTCTCAGAAAGGATTGTGGAACCCAGAACTGCAGCACTGAGGATTTAATTTTCTTCTCTTTCATCTGTCTCATTATTATTTGAATAGTCACTTCTCTTAAAGTACCATAAACAATTTTTTTTCATTCTAACAAAGCTGGGACACTACTAAGCTTTCACAGAATCACAGAATGGGTCAGACTGTAAGAGACCATAGTGAGTCATCTAGTGCAACCTCCCTAAGCTTTCTTTGTTAACCTTAAAAACACAGAAGTTTAAAAGCTTAAGTAATGCAAATTAGGGCGACAAGGAAGGTTGAAGAGATGAAGTACTCTTGCCTATCTAATGGAAAACGTCCCCCAAGTGTTTGGGGTGATAAGCAGAACAATTCAGCTCAGTGGAAGCCAGCACAGCGTTCCCACATTCTCAACTCCAGGAGGCTTTCCCATCCTTTAAAACAAAATATTAAATAATGATAGCTCCCATTTCTAATAACAGTAACTGAAAAATAAATTTTACATTAACTTGAAATAGCAAATAAAGTTTACATGAAATTTTTTAGAGGGGAGAGATACTGTGTGTATTGCCTAAACACAAATTAAAAGTAGGACTGCAGTAAGGTATAGCACCTAATTCCAGAAAATTATTTAAAGATGGCAGTAATTAAGCACTGCAGTAGTACAATCAGAAAAGTACACAGTTTAAACATGTTAACTGCTAGAAGTCCATGACTTCATATTACTTACTATTTTATTCTTTTAATTTTTTTTCACATTAGCAAGGGGTAATGCATGTTGCTTATTTTATTTTCTGCTACTCATAGAATACCTACAGCAAGATTAGAGGTAAGATCTTCAGATAATTTCAGCTCTAGAGAAGATACAGCTCTCTTTTTATATTTTTCCTAGAGACAGTGTAGGCAGTATAGGCAGCCAGTTTACATCTTCTGGCGACTTGTGATGTGGACATGCCTGCAACAAAATAAATCTATCCATAGAATACACAGTAGATGGGAATTTCCCTGTTAGCTTTGTAATGCAGTCCAGTAAAATGGTGCTGAGCAGCTGACCGTGAGTCTTGTTTGGTTTCCTCCTCCTCCTGCTCCTGCAGCTGAACAAACCCCGAGGTGCTGGCAGCCCCATGGAGTTCGAACGCCTCCCCGCGAGCGCTGGGCAGCTGCACAGCATGGCCCTGGCAGTGCCACCCGGTCTCCACCCGCTCTCCCGCTGACCTCCAGCTGCAGACTCCAGGGACACATTTCAGGGTTACCAGATCCAACTCTGCCAGAACAAGTTTTTGCCATTTAATATTCATTGAAGTAACATTTCAAGGCTCTGTCTATAAATAGCGATTCCTTTGTAGTATGAAGCTCTTTTTCCCAGCTTGCATGAGCCCCCCCACGCCATCCCACCAGGGCTGCTCCCTGCAGCACAGCTCACAGGCTGCCACTGATCCCCACGCAGTGGATTCAGACATGGTTCAGTGCAAGAACAGCAACAGCGGCACATTCTGCTTCAGTTGCACAAACACATACTTGCTGCCTAGCTCATCACCAGATTTTTATAATTTAGACTATTTAAACAATTGCCCTTCCTTCAATATTCTTAATAATTCTTGTGGTTAGGAAAGGATGTGAGCTTTTAAAATATTTTGATCTTTCCTTATGCTGCCTTCCAGATGCCCATCACTTGGTCCACATCTTGACAGTAACCCCAGGCACATGGTAGCAGCAGAAGCCTTACCAGTGTCACAGAGAGCAGGCTGATTGCTTCAGATTCTGTGAAGTATAGTTCATTGTGCTGTGAGGTTTCTCTTTCTTGTAGGCATCAATGTTCATCTCAAAATAAGCCATACCCTACTTCCCAAACCACCTTCTAACACATCCATCCAGGCATTTCTTACTCTTTTAGTCAAACAGTTGGCCAAAGCCACCTGTGCAGAGAGGCTACCACTGAGGGATATTCTCCCACTCACCTTGTCTTTTAAGATTTTTGGTTCTACTAGAGAGTTCTGAGTACACTGGCCCTTCTCTTCCACTTTGCCTCAAGTTTAACAAGCATACTCTGGTTCTCCAGGATAGCAAAAAAAATTCCAAACAAACATAATCCACAAGAGGCTTAAAATAGCACTGTAGTGGGAGGCCAGATTTTTGAGCTCATTTTCATATTTGAAAATTCCATTGTTCCCTTGAGAAGAGAAATAAAAGGATTACTTTGATGAAATTATTTGGGGTTTTTTTAGAAGCTCTATTTCTTACAGACTTCAGGCATAATAATTCACAAGTAGCAATTCGACAGGAAGGCTACAAAGGCACAAATTCTGTTAGAAACACAAAACCTATCTAGGGATGCACAGCTACGATTGATTTCCATGATGATTTTCCCCGGTAATTGGGGGAATCAACCTAGGAAGAAGCATTGGGGTACCTTACAAGTGATTCTCATACTTGCCAACTTAAAGATGCTTCCTAGAAGCATTTTTCATGGAGCAGGAATTTTCACTGACAGGGCTAGCTACTTCAGATATAAGGTTTTTCCTAAATACGTGCCAGCAACTAGTAGTTATTGCTGGCTATCTCTGCCCAATTCTAAACCACAAATTTTTCTCCCCCAAGACAATGACGGATCTTCAGTTGCATTTGTGATTGTCAGTCTCACAGCGAGCTGGTAACCGCATCAGCCAGTGAATGAGGAGGACTTCAGAAAGGATCCTGATCAAACCATTGTCTTTATCAACCATTTGTTCTGTCTCTACATATGCTGTCATACAGTTCTGCTGGCAAGTAGAGCAGGTGAGCACTACTCAACAATGTTATTGCTAAGGCACATAACCTGCCTCAAGGCATATAGTTGATGCCCCATTCAGCTGTAACAGAGAAAAGCCACTGAAAAAAAAAAATCTAGAAGATGAATGTGGTCAGTTCAACTGAGATGACTTCTATGCACCTGGAGCTGCAGAGGGCACTGTTATCAGCTCTACACAGTAAAAACTGTCACCTTTGAATGATCAGGAATCAAATCCCTCTATTTCCAGTTTCACCATCAGCCCCTTCTTGTCGGCGAGAACAAGGTCCAGCATAGCACCTGTCCCCATTGGCTCCTCTATCACTTAGAGAAGGAAGTTACCATCAATGCATCCCAAGAACCTCCTGGATTGCTTATGCCCTCCTGTGTTGTCCCTCCAGCAGGTACCAGGGTGGTTGAATTCCCCTCTGAGGACCAGGGCTTGTGAATGTGAAGCTGTTCCTGTCTGTCTATAGAGAGACTGATCCAGTCTTCCTGGTCAGGTGGCCTGTAGCAGACCTCCACTACTGCTACCTGCCCCTGCCCTCCCTTTAATCCTGACCCATAAGCTCTTGGTTGGCTCCTCATCCATCCCCAGGCAGAGCTCCATGTGCTCCAGCTGGTCACTGAGAGGGCAATACCACCTTGTCCCCCTGCCCGTCCTTCCTACAGCCTTTGTCCTTCCACCCCAGCACTCCAGTTGTAGGAGCCATCCCTCCGCTTGTCAATGCTGCCACTGAGATGACAGCCCTGCAGGTCAGAGCACATCTCTAACTGTTCACCCCCCAGGCTGTGTGCATTTGCACAGAGGCACTCAAGTTTTGTCCCTGGTGAATCTGACTTACTGACTGGAGCATCTGGGAGTCCTTTTGCTGCTCTTCAGGTGCTCCTGCTGACCTGCAATTCCACTTCAGGCTCTGGGCATCTATGGCTGGCTCTGGCATCAAACTGAGATGAAGATTGCGATGGACTGAGGTTCTCCTACCCTGGCAAACTTAGTAATAATCCTTTAGTTTCTCTTCACCAGCTCGGCAAGCCTACGACTGAAGATGCTCACACACAGGAACACATGATACAGTCCAGACCACCACACCACCACGTATAAACTGCTTTATTGATTGCAGTTAACATGTTACAATTAATTTATGATTCCAAGCATTCAGCCAGCTGCTTATAATAAGTATAACCTGCCACCATAGTCACATGGAACTGGACAAAGAGATGTTTAGTCACTGAGGCATCCTGAACTGGAATCATTTCTGCTTCTTGGGCATTGAAGAGACAACCAGATGATACATACAATAGACTGTTCCTGAATTAAGAGACAGAAAAGATATTTTCAGACTGGCAAACAGAATTCCTTTCAAGTCAGCTTTGCAGTTTGTTCCAGAAGAAATACTGACAACAAGCAGCTGCAATTCAGACAAAACACATTTCCATAGCCATGTCTCAATTATTTTTTTTGGTGATTCATATTATCAAGAAAAAAAATCTTTAAATACCTCTGCACAGGCTGCACAAAAATAAAGAAACAAGGAAAAAAAAGAGTGGGGAGAGGCATGTTTGTGGGACCTACACAGACAATCATAAAGTAATTGTTACTCATTCTTAAAGCAACTGAACTGAAAATCCATTAGATCAACATATTTAAGTTACAGGCTACTACAAAATTATGTAACAAGCAACATAAAGGTTAAATTTATGCAGTATTATGAACCTTGGATATAATTCTGCTAGTTTTCACACCACATGAAAACTCAGTACGCTGAGTATCACCCAGCACTAAGAAGAGTCAGGCTAGTGAGAAAAATGGTTTACTTTCATGCTATAATTACATTTTACTCCTTTTCAGAATAGGCTTTCTAAGTAGTTCTCGTTTTCTCTGACATTATACATGAATTCCAAAGGAGTATTCAGCCCACAGTACTCAGTGTGGAAAAAAGCCATATGAAAAGCTAAACTTGGAGAAAGCACAAATAAATATATACAGTATGTCCAAATGTGGGTTTTTTCCCTCTCTACATGCATTTTGCATGTTCTAAAGAACAAACCAAAGGAACTGTGTAACTAATTTACAGAGAAAACACCAGTCATGTTGGAGATTGTACCAAAGAGAAAGTATTTTAATAATATTAAAATTGGCACATTGGAAATTATACCAAAGCATAAAGATTTTAGTATTAGCCTTACCAAACACCGTTAGAACCATGGTGGTTCTATACAACAGAGCATCCTTTGCACCACCTTTAAGATGCACTGGGAGGCCATTATCCTCCTAATGGAAACAAGTGACAAAAATAAACTATTTAAATACAATTCTTGCACTATTTTGTTAATATAACTACAATTACCCAGAAGAGGAATTACTTCCCCACATTATCCTTCCAACCCCCAAAACACAATGAACCTTATTTAGGTCCCACTTTGTCTTTAAAGCTTTCACTCTGCTATCAGGTGAGCACTCACTAGGGGAGTACTATAAATGATGTGCATGATTCATTTCTATAGCAGTGACTGGCAGATGCCTAAACACTTCTGACACCAGTTGCCAGCCCCCTCAGGTGCACAGGATGTGATTACCATCCCTACAAGCTTCCCATCCATCTCCAGAGTAGTTAATCGCTGCTATAGGGAGCAACAAGGGGAGGAGTCTGTCCTATCACCTGGTGTCACACAGGAAACTGTTTTGCTCCACTCCTAGGCACCAGATCCCATGATCTTTACCCTTGTCACAAGTTCACACTGCTCTAAAATTCAAGCCAGGCTCCCGTGCTAGTGACTTGCAACCCAGCCCAGCTTAACTTGCTGTCCCACAAGAAAGGAATGGGAGGAGGAAGAGATATGCCTAGAGATCTCTGCCAGCAGAAACAGAACCTCTGACCTCACCCATCACCAACATCCTGCTTCCCCCTTTGACCCACAATGAACACTGTGCCTCACACAGTGTCTCAGAAGACTGGCTTTCTCTTTCAGGGGAAAGGAAAGCAAGAAGATACAAAAGCTATTAAAGTGAGACTTCTAATATACTTTGTCCCTTTCACATTGCTGAAGCCCTGTCCATCCTCAGTATGAAGCTACATCTCCAGGTTATGGCTCACAGTTGGGAGTATTTTCTTAAATGTTCTCTGCTTTCACTAGTTCTCACTTGGTGGCCTTATCAATCAGGAACAGAGTAATTCAGAAGCTGTTTTTAAAGGTTCAATAATTTTCTAGGAATGAATCCAACCATTTAAGACTTTTACGGTTTTCATAACTGAACAACACAATACTACATCCTCATTAAGAATTATGGGGCTTATCTATAAACTGTAGATATAGCTGTAAGATTTCAGGCTTAACTTTTCATTGTATTTCTGTCCTCTCACTTGCTGTTTTTCTCTATTTGTTCCTAGGACATATTCCCCCATCTCAACTCCTTTGAGAGTACTTCATCTTTGCACAGTGCCTAATACTTACAAGAAACTCAGGTACAAATTATTTCATAGGGTAAAAAAGCCCCGAAGAGTGAGCAAGTCAACTGCACATGTAGAAATACTCTTAGTGTCTGTAGAAAATAACTGCTGATTACAAGCACTATAACCATACAGCTGATTTCAAAAGCTCTCTTCATGTGTAAAGAAGAGTCTGACCAGTTCTTTAGAAACAAAATGTATGCAACTGACCTATTAACACCTTGTTAATCTACTAAAATTGTTCAACTCAATACCTGAAAAAGTTTCTGATGCTCAGGAACTCTGTTTTCAAACTGCCTGCGTGAAGCAGTGCTTATGGTTCTCTGGGAAATTTGGCGAAGAGCCTGAAATAAAAGATAAACAGTGTTTTTAAAACAGTGATATTTTTCAGCTCTGTTCACGCTGGGTAATTCTTTTAAAAGCATGATATAAGTGGAACAGACAGAAAAAAAAAAAGGGAAAGCCTTTTACAAACAAAACCAGTGGGTTTTGGTGAAGTTTTGTTTGTTTGAGTTCAGTAAGTCTTTCAACAGATGCTGTAAAGGACTGCTTGACTGATTACCTAAAAATGAAAAACTCAGGAAAATTACTTTCAGTAAGATACAACAGATTTATGGATCTGCATCATAATCTTGACAGTTAGCACCCTTTTGGGGAAATCTCAGCCTCTGCCCCTTAGACAGAAGTTTTAAGCACCATGTTCTGTGTCTGACTAACAAAAGGGACAATAACATTCACATCAAACATTTTTGAGAAGGCAAGGATATTCTGTCACGGCTGCAGTTCACCCGTGAGCCCCCAGCGCAGGCAGTAATCTTCACAGAGCTAGGGAGGCACTTCCACCTCGCCACACACACAGCTTAAGAACACACTGCCATGTCCTGAGCTGGAAGCAGTTTCCACAGTCTGATCGCACAGATTAGGCGACCAAGAGCAATGATCTACATATAATTTCTCTGCTGGCCCAGTCTGCCTTCGACACGTCAAGTGTCAAAGCCGAAGAGCTGGCTGTAGCTCTAAGCCGCTGTAGGAAACTGAAATGTTAAAGGTTAATGCCTCAAACAATCAGCCATTTGCAAAAGCAGCGAGGTGCTAGCGGTCTCCTTCAACCAACACCGACAACACTCACCGCTCCCCGCAAAAGTATCACCACTAAAAACGCGGGCACGGAGAGGGCAAACATCCAGGTGATGCTGGCTGCAAGTAATGGGACAACGATCCTCCCCTCGCCCATTCCAAATAAACACTCGATAAAATATATCTCCGTGGAGACGGGCTAAGCATACCCCAGAGGCCCTGATCAACACCATCCTCTCAAGTCCCTAAAGCTCAGGACTACATGGAGCGAATGGGCCGCGACCTGGAGGGCAACACCTTCCCCCCGACCCCTGCCGGTCCCTCCGCAGCGCCCGGCGCGGGGGGCGGTCACCACGGCCCAGTCCCGCCCCCGGGGCACCGCGAGGAGCCCAACCGGCGGCAGCGGATGCCTTCCCCGGGCCTCACCAGCACGTTTCCGCCACATCGCGGCTCTTGGTCTGTCACCTCCCGCCGGCAAACAAGGAAGGGAAGGGAAGCGGCTCTCCGCCCACGCGGTGGCACCACAGAGGAGCCGCCGGAGCGCCGCCGCAAGCGCCCACAGCGCCGCCCCGCCAGTCCGCCCGGCTCGGCGGCAGCGCTGGGGAGAGCCTGTCGGTCGGATGGGATGTGTGTCCGCGTTCGTGTCCCAGGAACCAGAGCTGAGCCCTACAAGACCGGGAGGAAGGAGCGGTGACCTCTCCGAAGCCGCGGCGCCGGGAAGGGGCTGAGGCGCCCGGGCGGGCACACGGCAGGAGCGTTTCCTCACTGAACACAGCGAGAGCACTTCGGGAAATCTATGGAATGTCCCCCAGAGCCGCTACATACAGAATTTAAAACCAACTTTCATTGAAAAGTTTAATATCCGCAGAGGGCTGGATGCGTGTCCTGTGAGAGCACCACCACGGGCTGCACCAGTTCACATGGACTCGCCCGACATCCCCTTTGGCCGCCACTAGAGGCAGGACACTGAGCTAAGCACAGCCTGGGGCCGACCCAGGTGAGGGCGTCTTACACCCGTGGGATCGATGTGGCATCCCCTTGCTGAGCCATTACCCACAGAAAACCCCAAACTAAGCCATGTACCTGCCCACGGCCTGAAACTCCGTTCATGGCAGCGATACCGAGTACTCTGCATATGGAAAAAAAAAAAAAACAAAACAAAACAACACAAAAACAACTTCAGTTTCATGTTTCGCAGTATATAATTACATAGAGTGAAGTAATACCAGACTTGTAAATGTAAACGTATTTGATTCCAAAGGAAGAATCTACTTGCCCTTCAAGAAACTGATCTGAGAAGCTTGTGTTTTTCCTGCATTGCAGATCCAACAACACAGTTGCATCTTCTCATGCTTCAGCCTTATGCTGAAATATGATGCTGTTGGGAACACTATTTCGTGGCTTTGCTGCAGTTGCAGTGCACTTAGTTTTTAGCATTACACTGCTTTTGCACTTTTGCCAAACCTCATGATGAATAATGTGTGTCAAACACAGCAAAGTAGTGTTCAATCTAGTATGGAAATGACAAGGATCGTATCTCAAAAGCACAGCTGTCCCAGAAAGAAACTAAAAATGCAAAGATGAAGTAGTGTTTCTAGGTATAGTCTTAGCTGCGCAGAATATTAAAAATGCATTTAGAAAGCATTGTCATGGAGAAATACATGTTGTAACAGAGGAGGAAATTGGATGCATTATTTAAGAGTTTTCAAACACTCAAGTAGTGCTATCACAGAATAACACTTAAAAATACATTAAACACTGCAAGACAGATTTCCATTCATTTCTCCTGCAACCTTTCCTCTTATGAGTGTATACAATGTTTTATTCTGATCTTCATACACTTAGTTGTATTTAGATACTGGCAAAAGGATCGTATCCATGGAGAAATTATTATTCTCTAATTTCTGCTGTGTGGACCATTTTCTGATTTGTCTGAACTTAAGCCTCAGGGATACTGTCAAAACAAATCTTACAACCGAAAGACCCTATAAAAGCTTGGTATGTGGGTTACATACCAATCAAAGCTACATGATGACTGGTCACAGCAAGCACAGCTGGTGTCTTCAGTATTGACTATGAAGAAATGAAAACTTGAGGGAAAGAGAAATGGCAGCTTGCTGCCTCAGGGTGAGGATATTTCACTAGAAACAAACTCAGACTGCTTTTTCCTAACTGAATGTATTGCACTGAAGAATAACAAAATTGCTTATGAAAACTCATTGTTAAACAGTTTTGCTTAAACCAGAAAGAAAACAGGGCTGTTAATCTAGCTGTTAAAAAGCATTCATCATAAAAAAAAATGTTTTACCCCTTAAACCAATGATAGAAGGGTATGTAAACCCTGCTAAACTGAGGGCTTTTTTCCTGCAAACCAAGTAATTGACTAACCCACTTAAAAGCTACATTGTGTACCAAGAGAGAAAACATGCTGTATTCTACCTTAATACAGCCTTTTTACAGCCAAGTTACTTTGAGTTGTTCAGTACACTGAAACTGCATTAAAAGAACTTGCTGACAGAAAGAACAAAGATTTGTTCTGAAGTTTACAAGCATCTGTTGTAAAGCATACACTAACTTCAACCAGGTAATGCCAGGCCTCAGCAGGCAAGCCTTGAGGCAATCACATTTTCCTTTCTTCCAAGACTATCACAGTCCAGTCTTCCCCATTTTTGTAATAGAATTAATGAGGTCATTAATTCCCTTCCTGGCCCTCTAACACTACTTAAATCATCTCACCATTTTATTTTGCAAAATTTAGGCACAATCCTTAGGTAAAAATTCAATTAAACTTGCACCTAACTCTGGTATTCCATTTGCTCAAATTGTTTATTTTATGTGATCTTTATCTGAAATCAGGGTCCAGAGATACAGCTCCACCTATTTTCTTTGAATTTATTTATTTTTTAAAAAACTTCTTGAGCTTCCATAGTGATTGACTTATGCTTTTATTCCTCTTTATTTCATCCCCAACAGGAAATGAGAAAGATAATCTTCCAACTTCAGAGTTTGTAGCAGCAGTTGGTATAATGCAAATGGACAGTATTACTTTATTTATTTATTAAACACAGGGTGAGGATGTTTCTTATTTGAGACTCAGGTCATGTAAGGACCTGCTAATTCTTATCAGGCTATTTCATAATGGACTTTAGCCTTAATTAAAACTGTGAAGTAAAATTAGACTTCACATTTAGGCACAGAAAGAAATATGGTGACCAGAACAGATTCTGTGAGCTAGAACACAGGGTATTTTTACATTGAAATACTTCTTCTGATCTGAGGAAAATTTACTACTACTACAATAAAAGAACTTCTTGCAATTGGACTTGCTTTCTACCTCAGAGTCCATTTTCACACTGTCAGAAGCAGTCTTTTCCATAAACTGGCCACATTGTTAAGAAGGAAGAATAAAATTGTCTTAGACTTTCAGTTTTTTCTTCTACTTTGAAAGAGAGAATTTTTGGCAGGTTGTTCAATACAGACAAGTATTCAGTATGTGGAACATTTGAGGGTGTTCGAGGTTTTTTATGTTGGGTTTGCTATTGAACTGTTACCAAAACAAACTGATGTAGTACCAAGGATAGATCATGTTTTCTGGCAAGATCAGAAAGCATAGTCTTGTCACAGGAACTCTGAAGATCAGATTACTCTGTGGTTATGCACTGTTCTTTGTCTTCAGCAGTTGCATTCCAGTAACTTCTCTTTTTAAGTAACGGTTAACAGTAAGTACATTCTGCTTTAGACACAAGTCACATTTTTCCACCAGGCACTCACTTCAAGTAAGGCAGCTGAGGGAAGGATGCAGTCAATAATACTTCTTGTGAATCCAATCCAACCAGCCCAGTTCATTGCTCTATTTGATGGATTCGAGCAGATAATGTGTGTGCAGATGTTATTTGACCTGACTGTCATGACCTTTCCTCCCTCAGAGACTTCTATTAAAAAAAGACAAGACTTACATCCTTCATGGTTTAATATTCATAATTAAAGAAAAACCATGCTGCTGGGAACCTAGTACTGAACTTGGAACTAGGTACTGAACCTAGTTTCAGTACCAGTGTACTGAAGAGAGGCAAAGGCTGTGAAGGATCCTTCACAATTCAGTTATAAACTCTTCCCTCTGACTGAGCAAAACACAGCTGTCAGCTCCCCAAATAGTTTGATGCAGTTAAAGAAACATCTTGAGGTGACAATCTGCTTTGTTACACGGATGTAGATTTTTACAAGAAAACAGAAGAAACCGCTCTCACACAAGGGAATTGGTCTGGAGAGCTGTTGCGTACATTGAGGACAAATCCTACTTCCCCAAAATACTGTCTCCAGGAAAGGCTCATTTTATAAGCAAGACGCTCATAACAGCAGCAGCCTCCAGAAAGTTTATCATCTCTCACGCTGTGGGCACTGCCTCAGCTGGGTAAGGCTCAGAAAGCACTCAGTGTGGGCACTCTGAAAGCAGAGGTATTGCTCTTGGTACTTCTGAAGCTTGGTAGTGAATACTTGTGAAGGACGCCAGTGAAGAACTAGGTCACTGGTGGTCAAATCCAGATTCGACACATGACACTGAACATTAGGACAGTGACACTGCCCTGAGAAGCATCAGACATAGATGTTGTGGTTTCACCTTTGAACATGTGACATATGTGCAACTTGTAAGAAACACAAATTCCAAGGATCTCCACAGTTATCAACATGACACCAAGACAAATGGCCATGACTGAAGGAAGAGTTTACAAATTTGAATTACATTAAGCATTTTAAGCTCTGTGGGCACACTGTCCCATGTATTTGCTGCTACAGGCTCTCAGAGAACCCACTTAATTGCAACAAAAACCAGACAGCAATTCTCACCCTGGTGCATTTAATTGATGAGATCAAAGATGCACTGACAGCTGTAGTCAGTAAAAAAATGTAAGGCATTGAAAAATATTGTAAGGTGAAGACAGAAAAAAACTTTGATTTTAGTTTTAAGCACAATAAGCAGCGTTTCTTACTTGGAAAAAATAGGAATTATGAATGAAGCAGAATATAGTTGCACATAAAGTGACAAACACAAAATACTTTAATAACTAGTAATTGTGAGACATCCCCTTACTCACTGTATTTTGGACCAGCAGCTTTAATCAAAAGATGGAAGCCAGCTTAACATGTTCTGCAAATCTTCTGCCTTACAACATACGAAGTTCCATTACCTGTATTCTGTAACTCCAGCAACAGAGGTACAGCACTGTAAATAAGACCTTAAAAGCTTCTGACTATTTGAAAGCCCTGTGCTGCCAGACTGTACTGTGCAAACAAATTATTATATGGAGCTACAGTGAGCTAGTACACTGGAAATGCTGTCCCATTCTACAGTTAATCCAGATTTACACATGTAAACTGTTAGGCTACACAAGTAATTAAGTAAATCCAGTCATGTATTTATGTGGTAAATTATTAAGTTTTGTTTAAACCTGCCCATAGATTAGGATATTAGACCATAAATTTTTGTAACAAATACACAATCCCAGAAATACAACTCACTTAAAACTGCATTTACACTTAATGATGTCTTTTCATCCAAATGAAAATAAATGTTCAAAAACAACACCAAATCTCTTATTAAATGGTTTGCAGAATTTATTAGTCTCTTTTAATATACTCAATATTTTATCAAGCTAGTTGCATATAAAGTGATCTCCACCATATACATTACAGTTTCTGTGCATCATCTAAAAAAAAAAAAAGTCACCAAAAATTAATATTTTACAGGTTGCAGTTAACTTTTAATTAACCTAAAGGTGAATCCATCTGTTATTTCATTTGAGACACTAAGCTGCACATTGCTTCTTACTGCAATATTTAAATTACATTTCACAGCAAGCTAAACCTGCATTTCAGGTAAAACAGGTCACTGCCATCTCAACTTTTGAATTTCTATAGTTTACTTCCTTAACACCGCAAGAAATTAACGTGGTGTTCACTCCAAATAAGGAAAAAGTATACAATTCCCTTGCAACAAAGCCTGCTCAGAATACATATGCCTTTAAGAAAATTAGGAAACTCCTCCAGTAAAAGGAATTCACCCAAATTTGTGAACAGAAAAAAACCTTTTAGGTTCTTCTTGATTAATGCTT